CCTCTGGGGGACACCATCCCCCTCCTCTGGGGACACCATCCCCCTCCTCCCCATTCCCCTCCTCTGGGGGACATCATCTCCCTCCTCTGGGGACACCATCCCCCTCCTCTGGGGGGACACCATCCCCCTCCTCCCCATCCCCCTCCTCCGGGGGACACCATCCCCCTCCTCTGGGGACACCATCCCCCTCCTCCCCATCCCCCTCCTCTGGGGGACACCATCCCCCTTCTCCGGGGACACCATCCCCCTCCTCCGGGGGGACACCATCCCCCTCCTCTGGGGGACACCATCCCCCTCCTCTGGGGGACACCATCCCCCTCCTCTGGGGGGACACCATCCCCCTCCTCTGGGGGACACCATCCCCCTCCTCCCCATCCCCCTCTGGGGGACTCCATTCCCCTCCTCCCACCCACGGGACAGGCGGCTTCGCCTGGGAGAACCCCGTACGAGGAGCACCCATGGGCAGGCTGTGGGCCTCGGCCTTGGGCCCTGCCGAGATGCCAGCCCAGCTTCTCTCAGCCTGAGCCCCGGGCACCGCAGAGCCCCTGACGCGTTGCCATGGTGACTCTAGACCTGAAACTTTGGTCCCTTTGTATGTTTGAAGGAACTCATGCCTCTGACATCACAGGAAACACGTGAGGGGGGCTGTTTCTGGAGGAAACTCTGGCTCAGAACCTTCCATTCTTTCCTCAAATGGCGGAGCCTGTGCCATTCTTGGGATTTTTCCAAAGAGCCGCTGTCCTGGCTTAGAACAGCCTTAAACCTGGACCAGTCAGACCGTCTGGGTGGCACGCGAAGGGGGAGCAGGGAGAGATACCCTCACCCTCCCTCCTCCGGCGCCAGCGGCAGAGCCCAGGAACCTGGAGCCCAGCGGTGCGGGTGGTCCCACAGCCAGACGGGCAGGGACAGGGATGGGAACGGGGAAGGAAAAGGGGACGGGGACAGGGACAGGACAGGGACAGGGATAAGGACGGGGACGGGGACAGGGACAGGGACAGGGACGGGGACAGGACACATGGATTGGTTGCCGTCTACACTCGCCCTCACTGGGGGTGGGGATCGCACCTGCAACCCAGGTAGGTCCCCTTGGCCTGAATCCAACCCTCTGCCTCCCTGTGCACCCTCTAACCACTGAGCAACACCGGCCAGGGCACCATGCCAGTTTTTTGTTCCCATGATAGTGTCAAACCAAGATCAGCTTAATAGTGAAACGTCAGAAAAAGCAAAGCAAAGCTTTTCACTTCACAGTATCTTCGTGGAAGGAGGTTACGCATTTGAAAAGAAGAGGACGATTAAACACATCATCCACAAAGTTATAAAAGCCGCCCCAGCTCCGGACCAGCAGGTGGCACAGCTGCCTTTGCCCCGACCTCCCCGTCTCTGCTCCAAGAACAAGCATCCGGGGGTGGGAACCAGGTCTGCCCTCTGCTGGTCAATGGGCACTGAGCAGCATTACAACTAAGGCCAGTGGTCGGCAAACTCATTAGTCCACAGAGCCAAATATTAACAGCACAAGGATTGACATTTCCTTGGAGAGCCACATTTTTTAAATTTAAGCTTCTTCTAACACCACTTCTTCAACATAGACTCGCCCAGGCCGTTGTATTTTGTGGAAGAGCCACACTCCGGGAGCCAAAGAGCCGCGTGTGTCTCAAGAGCCTCAGTTTGCCGACCATGGAACGAAGGGAAGGGCACTGGGCCCCTTCCCGCTGCCTTGCCATGGAGGCCATGACCTTGCCTCCGGGTCACAGACTTTGTGTCGGAGACGGGGGCGAGGGCGAGGGCGGGGGCAATAGAGCAAGGTCCGCCTAAGCAGTCACTGACAGCATCCTGGCACCACGCGTCACCAGGGAACCCTAAAATAAATCAGCGAGCCTGGCCGGCGGGGCCCAGGAGCTGAGCATCAACCTATGAACCAGGAAGTCACGGTTCCATTTCTGGTCAGGGCACAGGCCTGGGTTATGGGCTCGATCCCCAGTAGGGGGCGTGCAGGAGGCAGCCCATCGATGATTCTCATCATTGATGTTTCTCTCTCTCCCTCTCCCTTCCTCTCTGAAGCCAATAAAAACATATTTAACCGTGGGGTTTTCGAACAAGTGTCATCATGTCTAGCCCAAGGTTCTCAAACAAAGCGATTGTGTGTCCCCAGGGTTTGGGGGCGGTGTCCGGAGACGTTCTGGTTGTCACAGCCGGTGGCTGGCGGTCCCACAAGGACTGGCCGGCACCGGCTCTGGCCTCCCAGTGCCTCCGCTTTACCTGTGAGCGTGGAAGCTGGGCTGGCCGCTGCCTCCCGTGGGCCGAGCCCCCTGGAGGGCCACCACATGCGGGGGTGCAGGCTGCGGGGCCTCCCCAGGGGCTGCCCGGCGTGGCCTGGGCAGCGGAGACTCTGCCGAGTCCTGGACGCTCAGCCCCGGACCCCCGGGCCGCATCTGCTTGGCACTCGGCTTGCTGGGTGGCCGTGAGGCCAGGAGACCGTCTCGGGATGCCGAAGCCACATGAAGTCAGACAAGCACCATTTTCACTCCAAACATCGTTTTTTTCTCACTTCTCGTGACGCAGGCACGTCACAGAAAAGTGAGCGTCCCCGCCGTTCCCTAGCGTGCGGCTCCGCAGTGTGCGGTGCGCTGAGGTCCGACCCCTCTTCTGGATCCTTCCCACCGACCCAAACTGAAACTCGATGCCGACTTTACCTTTTTAATTTTTGTTTTGTTAATCCTCACCCAAGGATATTTTTCCATTGACTTTTCAGAAAGAGTGGGAGGGAGGGCAGAGAGAGAGGGAAAGGGAGGAAGAGAGAGGGAAAGACAGAGAAACATCAGGGGGAAAAGGAGTGTCTCCACATGGTCGTTTCTCTCGCCCAGCCTCCTGTAAGGAATTCTGAAAGACCTGCCAGTGTCGGCCTGCCTGGAGCCTAATCACGGCTCTTCAAAGGGGGAAAAAGCAGAGCCCGTTAAAAAATCGCCGGATAGCGGATGGAACGTGAGCGTCTGTTCTGTGAGAAGCTGTTGTGGGAAGCCTCCCACGGCCAGACATGGCGCCTCACTCGCACCCGGGCGACAGGGCTGCACACGGGCCCGGCGCAGCCGAGGAACCCAGCGCCGGGCACCTCGGCGTCTCCTGCCAGAGACCCCGCCAGAGAGCCTCAGAGGTGGGCAGGGAAGGGGCTGCGGAGGCCCAGATGGCACGCATCCGGCCAAAATGAGAAGAGAAAGAAATCAACTTCTCAAACCCACGGCAGGTGTTTGCAGCCTCCCCTGAGGGCTGCTGAGGAAGGGCAACGAAGAGCGTCTGCACCTCTGGCTAGTTAGGGCACCTCTGGCTAGGTAAGGCACACTGATGGTCTGGTTAAGGCACACTGATGGTCTGGTTAAGGCACACTGATGGTCTGGTTAAGGCACACTGATGGTCTGGTTAAGGCACACTGATGGTCTGGTTAAGGCACCTCTGGCTAGGTAAGGCACACTGATGGTCTGGTTAAGGCACACTGATGGTCTGGTTAAGGCACCTCTGGCTAGGTAAGGCACACTGATGGTCTGGTTAAGGCACACTGATGGTCTGGTTAAGGCACACTGATGGTCTGGTTAAGGCACACTGATGGTCTGGTTAAGGCACCTCTGGCTAGGTAAGGCACACTGATGGTCTGGTTAAGGCACCTCTGGCTAGGTAAGGCACACTGATGGTCTGGTTAAGGCACCTCTGGCTAGGTAAGGCACACTGATGGTCTGGTTAAGGCACCTCTGGCTAGGTAAGGCACACTGATGGTCTGGTTAAGACACCTCTGGCTAGGTAAGGCACACTGATGGTCTGGTTAAGACACCTCTGGCTAGGTAAGGCACACTGATGGTCTGGTTAAGGCACCCAGCTGGTCTAGTTAAGGCACCTCTGGCTAGTTAAGGCACCACTGATGGTCTAGTTAAGGCACTCAGCTGGTCTAGTTAAGGCACCTCTGGCTAGTTAAGGCACCACTGATGGTCTAGTTAAGGCACCTCTGGCTAGGTAAGGCACCACTGATGGTCTAGTTAAGGCACTCAGCTAGTCTAGTTAAGGCACCTCTGGCTAGTTAAGGCACCACTGATGGTCTAGTTAAGGCACCTCTGGCTAGTTAAGGCACACTGATGGTCTGGTTAAGGCACCTCTGGCTAGGTAAGGCACACTGATGGTCTGGTTAAGGCACCTCTGGCTAGTTAAGGCACCACTGATGGTCTGGTTAAGGCACTAAGCTGGCCTAGTTAAGGCACCTCTGGCTAGGTAAGGCACCACAGAGGTCCCTGGGAAATCATGGAGACCAGGATAGGTCACACAGGTGGCCGGAGCGCGGGAAGGGAGCCCCATGTCCACCCTCTCTTGATAATTGCATCCTTTCGAAGACATTTAAATTATTTAGGCGGTTGTAACCGAGGCATCTTTAATAATGCACCGAACAGCGGGCACCAGGTGGAAATCAATTAGACTCCACGGCTAAATTACAAGGTAGAAATTTACAAGAGGGCGGCCGGGATGGGGCTGCAGGTGCACAGGCCTGCCAGAGACAATTAGATCAGCAGCCAGATGGGGCCTGCCTCTTCATGGAAACGGCAGAACACCGGCCTAACGCTTCCAAATACAGGGCGATCGTCAGCAATGAAAATGAGGAGGCCCACCCTCTGATCGGGGCTCTGGATGGTCCAGAGACGTGGTGGCAGAGCCTGTGCAAAGGCCGCCTGTGCAAAGACAAGACGGCGAGCGGCTGCGGCCCCGGTGGGGCTATTTGGGAAGCGGGTGCACCCCGCCCTGGGAGCCAGTTAGGCAGACGGGGAGGTCCTGCAGGGGCCTGTCTCCGCAGCGCCCAGAGGGTGACCACCACCTCCTGCGGCTGCGACGTCTCCCTTTCCGGCCCAGCACGTGGCGGGGCCCGGGCGCCGCTCCCGCCCTCGGCCGCGAGGGGGCGCAGGGCGCAGGCGCGCTGCTCGCCGGCGCGGGCGCGGCGACGCGCCTCCGGGCCGCCAGGGGCCGCTGTGGCGCCGCCGGGGCCGCTGTGGCGCCGCCGCCGCCGGGCACTCTTGAGCGCGGCCTGCCGGTTTGGCGGGGTGAAAGGTTGCGAAGATGGCGACGGCCTTGAGCGAGGAGGAGCTGGACAATGAAGACTATTACTCGTTGCTGAACGTGCGCCGGGAGGTGAGGCCTGCGGCGGGGCGCCGGCAGGGCTGAGGCCGGGCCCGGCCGTCCGAGGGGGCCGGGCTGGCGGCGGCGCCCCGTTCCCGCCCCGGAGGCCGCGGCCGGCGAGGAGGCCGCGTGACCCCGCCTGACGTGCGCGGCCGCCGGCGATCGGGCGGCCCCTCCGCCCGGGCCTCGCGCGGGGGTGCCCCGCGGCCTGGGCCCCGCGCTCGGCGGCCGAGGCGCCCGGTGCCGTCCGGGGCGGCCGGGGCCCCGCACCCGCGGGAGGCGCAGGGCCCCGGGGAGGAGGCGCAGGGGGAGCCCGGCCCCCAGGACCCGGGCCACGCGCGCCCCCCACAGCCGGGGGGCGGAGGGGCCGGGGGGCGTCCTCGCCCCCGGCCGGCGGGATGGGAGCAGAGTCCCGGGTACCAAGGTCAAAGCCGCCCGGGCCTCCGCAGGGGCCTCCGCACGGTCTGTGGGGCCCTGAGGGGCCGGGCTCCGGGGACAACCCGCCCCGCTCCTCCCCCAGAAGCGGAGGGAGGCCTCCCGGCCCCGCAGCCTCGGTTCGGGGGCTGCAGGTCAGGAGGCAGCTCCGTGGCCGGGAAGGAAGCGGAGCCCCCACTCCCACCCCGGGGCCCGCGCCCGGTCCCCGAACAGCAGACGGAGCGGGGCCCGCGCGGCGCCCAGGAGCGGCCTCGTGGCCCCCGCCTGCAGGGCAGGGAGGCTCCGGGGTCCGGGCAGGAGGCGGAGGAGCGTTTGTCTCCGGCCCCGCCCGCGGGCCCCTCCTGCCCGGCCTGGGTTGGGAGGGATGGGAAGCGGCAGGGCTGGCCGTCCGGGCAGAGCTGGCCCGCGTGGTGCCCCACAGCTCGCGTGTCCCCGATGCCCAGTGCGCAGGGCCACCTGCTGAGCGAACACGCTGCCTCCGGTCATCCTCTGAGCCTGGAGGGAGGGGTGCGATCCTCTGGGCTCCTGGCGGGACCCGGAGGCAGACGGAGAGGAAGGCCCGGGCCCGCAGGCACGCCTCTGGGAAGAGCCGGAGCCCGTGCTGTCACCCTCGCCGCCGCGCCCCCAGACCACAGAGCTGCGGGCCCGGGACTGTGTTCTGGGGGACCCCGCGTGAAAATCCCTCCGGTGTTAGCCGCTTTGAAACCCCAGGGAAATGATTTTGGGGAGTGGAAGTCATGTCAGGCTGCCATAGGCACCTGGAGCTGTGTGTGACTTAGCAGCGAGGCTTTGGGCAAATCACTTCGGCCTTTGATTTGTTTCTTCCCTCAGTGCCCCCCACCCCCACCCCCAATCCTCACCCAAGGACATGTTCATTGATTTGAAAGAGAGACATCGATGTGAGCATCCGCTGTCTCCCATATTGGCTCCAACTGGGCACTAAACCGTAGCCTGGGTACGTGCCCTGACCAGGAACCGAACCCAGGACCTTTCATTGTTCAGGACGACCCTCCTGAACTGAGCCACAAGGCCAGGGCTCTTGCCCTTTCAATGAAGCTGTCCGGCCAGTTATTCTTTAAGCTTTCTGCAGTTCTTAAAAAGCAAGGCAGGTGATGAAACTAGCTTTTCTGAAGTCATCCTTCCTTATCATCCCTTTATGGTCAGTCTGGGTTATCAGTAATTTAGCTGCCACTGACCTGTTTACCACATTTACAGAATACTAGCTGCAAATGATCAGAACTAGCTATACTAGTAGGCTAAGCCAGACTCCTTGGTAAACATTTGTCAAAAGTGTATCTTGAAACCTCTGGAATCTGAGGACCTGTCATTGTTCCTGGTCTGATGGGTGGGAGCCAAAGAAATACTTCTTTTAAAAAGCTTTACTACTATCACCCTAGCGGGTGTGGCTCAGTGGATAGAGCATGGGCCTGAGCTGAAGGGTCCTGGGTTCGATGCCTGCCAAGGGCATGCACCTTAGTTGCAGGTTGGATCCCTGGCCCTGGAGGCAACCAATCAATGTGTCTCTTCACATCCATGTTTCTCTCTGTCTCACCCCCTTCCTTCTACTCTCTAAAAATCAGTGGAAAAACATCCTCGAGTGAGGGTTAATAAAAATCAAATAAGCCGAAACCGGTTTGGCTCAATGGATAGAGTGTCAGCTTGGGGACTAAAGGGTCCTGGGTTCGATTCTGGTCAAGGGCATGTACCTTGGTTGCGGGCATATCCCCAGTAGGGGGTGTGCAAGAGGCAGCTGATCGATGACTCTCTCATCGATGTTTCTAACTCTCTATCCCTCTCCCTTCCTCTCTGTACAAAAATTAATAAAATATATTTTTTTTTAAATCAAATAAAATCCCCCAAAATGTCTTAGAAAGTTTACTGCCACTGAGTGAAGGCACTTCCCAAAAATTTATGACGATGGGAAATCCCTGGGGAACACGTCCTCTTGCTTACGTCATTGTGTGTGGCCTTTGTCTACACTGGCAGGGGTCCTCAAACTTTTTAAAGTGGGGGCCAGATCATGGTCCCTCAGAGAGCTGGAGGGCCGGACTATATGAACTACTAATTCCTACTGTAACACCTCGGCTGCGCTCACTGCCCAAAAAACCTGGCGGGCCGGATCAGACTCCTCTGTGGGCCGCATGTGGCCCGCGGGCCGTAGTTTGAAGACGCCTGGTACAGGCTCCGTGTAGAAGGTGTGCTGTGCCGACTTTACCTCCTGATTCTGTAAGATACGCTCTGAAGGGTGGTCTCTGGGCTTGACATTTACTAGGACCTTTTTGTGAAATCAGAAGGCAGCCTGAAGGTGAAACAACATCCAGTTGGAGAGTGAGAGGAAAAATAGAAGTCTTATTTCTTTTTCTTTTTCTTAATTTGGCGATATGGGGGGGCCAGGCGGGAGCCCACCTCTAATGGGAGAACTGCCGCTAGGCTCTGGCCTTGCTGTCCCTTTTATGGAGACTATGGGGTACACCCACAGCCCTTAGGCAGGTTTGGGGTACACCCACAGCCCTTAGGCAGGTAATAAGTGGACTATCATATCAGTAAGTTGCCTCAGGTTCGTTGTCTCCATTAGATTTGGCTCAGACCGTTCAGAGATAAGTCCTTACTTCTTACACTTGTGGCTGGAAGTGGCCAGTAACACCTGTCTTGTTTGCTGTCAGTTGTGATGCCGAGTAGCATTCCCACCAGACATCAGAGCTTCCCTCGGTGCTCAGGACGCTCAGGTTTTCCCCGGGAGTCTCAAATGGAAGCAACCTGCGAGTTCTAGTTAGAAATGTAAAAATTAGAAAGAATAAATAGCCGAAACCGGTTTGGCTCAGTGGATAGAGCGTCAGACTGCGGACTGAAAGGTCCCAGGTTCATTCCGGTCAAGGGCATGTGCTTTGGTTGCGGGCACATCCCCAGTAGGGGGTGTGCAGGAGGCAGCTGGTCGATGTTTCTTTCTCATCGATGTTTCTAGCGCTCTATCCCTCTCCTGTCCTCTCTGTAAAAAATCAATAAAGTATATATTTTTAAAGAAGGAATAAATAGAGACAAATCAATAAATAAAAATGTAAAGATTAGAATCAGAATACATAGTTACAATTGAAGTAATTAGAAATAGTCAAAAATCAGTTTAAGAATCTTCCTTCCGCCTGGCCAGGTAGCTCAGTGGATTGGAGCATCATCCCTGTATGTCAAGGTTGCAGGTTTGATCCCCCATCAGCACATACAAGAGACGCCCAATGAATGAATTCATGGATAAGTGGAACAAGTCAGTGTTTCTCTCTCATCCCTCTCCTCCTTCTAAAATCAATGAACGAGCCCTAACCGGTTTGGCTCAGTGGATAGAGCATCGGCCTGCGGACTGAAGGGTCCCACATTCGATTCCAGTCTAGGGCATGTACCTTGGTTGTGGGCACATCCCCAGTGGGAGGTGTGCAGGAGGCAGCTGATTGATGTGTTTCTCTCTGTCTTTCCCTCCTCCACTCTCTCAAAATCAATGGATAAATATCCTTTTGGTGAGGGTTTAAAAAAAGAAAAGAGGCTGAGAAGCGGGAGTTGTAGCCCATGATGCCACTTGAGTGACCTTGAACAAGTCATAGCAAAGTCTCCATTTACTGACAGCTGTCCTTCATAGAGCTTATTGCTCAGAGAGCTGCTGTGAGGGTACGGGCTCTGCAGGGGCCTGGTGACTCCCCCTTCCCTTTCGGGGAGCTTCGTGCCCCTGGCAGGTTAGCCTTGCTTGTCTTTGACACTGAGTGTTAGCATCTATTATAATAAAGCATTAACACGCACTTCCGGTCCCGGGCTGAGGGGGCGTGGCGGCGGAGAGGGAATGTGCACAGTGCCTGACGGAAGCGGATATTCAGATGGGATTCGCTGTTAGTTTTGACATTTGGTAAACATGTGGTTTTGCTGATTTTAAAAAGGCTACACGCAGAAAGCGGCGTTAGCTTTGTCCTGGCTGAGTTTGCTAATGAAAACCTGGTCCCAGAACTTAGGGATAGCAGCGGGCTCTGACTTCCCAAAGCTTTCTTTGCTCTTTCTGTTCATAGTACCAAGTGTTTGTTTTTTTCTTCAAAAGACCGTCTCTCTCTGAACTCTGCTTCCTGCGAGTCTTGAGTTTGATTTGGAGGAGAGGGGTCCCAAAAGCTGGGCTGAGCCTGGGAGTGGGGTGCAGGCCTGGTCCACACAGGCAGGTGGGGCCCAGAGATACAGCTGTGGGCGCGTCAGCTCTGACAGGCAGGCAGGGAGGAGGACTACCCGGAGGCGGAGGCTCTGCCAGGCCCTGTCTGGACAGCAGAGCTGGTCAGGGGCGCCGGGCCCAGTCCAGAGGGGCGCCTGGTGGGGAGGGGACTGTTGGGAGACCCAGTGCGTTCCGCTGACATCTCATAATGTGATCGGCAAACATCATGGGGTTAAACTGAAAATGTGTTTGTTGTTGTTGTTGTTGTTTTTATTTTTTTTATTTTTTTTTGCAATTTTTTAAATTAAATTATTGTCTGTGTACATATTTTAACATATTTTTAAATATATATAAATATAAATTTGAATGAAATGAACACATATCTTTTATTTATTTATTTTTTAAA